CATTAGTATTTTTACGAAAACATTACCTAACTTCAATGGGGGAAAAACTCGGGATGCATGGCTGGTGAATAATGAAGGACAAAGCTAGTTAGCTTCCTGTTAAGCGATCTACATCAACTAATAATTAACTTATTCATCGTGAACCCTTGATAAGATACTGAAGAAGTTACAGAGTAGAAAGAAGACTTTATATTGCTTGTAAGTTTGTGAAACTTTTGTTTATAAATAAATGTTTGTAATAACTATTTGTAATAACTGTTATTGTATCAATATTGTTAGCAAATATCATAAATTTAAATTACCAGTTAACTCAATTTCAGGCTATTTGAAATTCTAATATGTAACAACTGACATCACTTGTTATCAAACTTTTTCACAGTTGATGAGAGGTAGCAATATCCAAAAGTATGCTACTTAACTGGGAAACAGGGTTTACCTTAACAAGTGCCAGATAATAATGTCACTTTTACAGACATGCAAATGTATGCAGGTTGGATGGGGTTTAGAAGAGTAGGGAAACGTTTTTCAGGTTTATTCAAGTTTTGTTCATTCACAAGGTCACCAGATTATAATAACAAAACTGTAAATTCTATAATTATACATACTCAGTGTACTTCATAAATATTGTGACTCACTGATGAAACATCCACAACAATTATAGTTTATAGTAAATCTATGTCACCACAATGTACAATCGTAGTCTCAGAGACTACTGTAACTGGCACAGAAATTAATGTTACCATACACAAACATGTTCATCACTGATAGTAACACTGCATTACAGTATTACACCACTCAAGTGTGAAGTTGTTAATTTTATTGCTTCATTACATAAAACTGCTACCAAGTAAAACTTTTACTAACAGTGCTCATATTACTTTTAATCTAATCAAAACACCTTAGGTGTGGGCAAAAAAGGATTGAGCATGCAACTTAAAGGAATGAAATTAAAACTGGAGGCCAAATTGATAGATACATTTAAAGCATAGACAAGAATTTTACAGCAAATATTCGTTCATTAATAAATAAACTTAATATTCCAAAAATTGTTTAATTTCAAGATCTAAGTTCAAGGGAGGTCAAGTTCAATCTACAATTTGATCAATGTGTGTTATTGGGTTATACAAGGTTTGGAGAATTTCACTCCTCATCAGTAACCCTGAACACAAGTTAACCAAACAGAGATAAGCTGTACTTATATCATAGTGAAAAATATCAAACATACTGTTGGTGTGAACATGCTTTGTAGTCACTAGTGAAAACCTATACATAGGATAGGTGCAGTGAAGAAAAAGTGTCATTGGCTACTATTCAGTTCTTCACATTATATTTGCTGCACAATACCAGA